GGTGGGAGTGCCCGGCGCTCCCGCAGGGCTGGGAGAGGGAAGAAGTGCCCAGAAGGTCGGGGCTGTCGGCCGGCCACAGGGATGTCTTTTACTATAGGTGAATGAGCGCGCCGGCCGCGCAGGGCCCCAACGGGCGCCTCCCAGCGGTCTCTGCGGCGGCCTGGGCGCCCCTGCCCTGGGCCGCGGCCTGGCCGCGCGCGTGCGTCGTGCGTGCGAGCGTGCGTAGACCGTGTGTGCCCGCCCGCCTAGCGCACGGAGGCCTAATGCGCGTGCGTGCTCGCGGATGCGCGGCTCAGTGAGCGTGCGCCGTGAGGCGCGCTGCCGCATGGCGCTCTAGCACCCGGCGGCTGAAGCTTTTGTACTGGCTGCCGCGGGGAACGTGCGCTCTAGGCTAGGGGCGCCCGGCAGTGGCCAGACGCGCTGGGAGGCGGGTGGGGGTGGGGGCTGGGCTCTCCCTCTGGCTCCCGTGGTGTGTTCCCCGGGTCCCGCGGAGCCCGAGGCGGGTGGCCAAGCCGGGATTTCGGGGAGCAGTGCTCGTTGCGGGGGACTGGAGCTAATCTGCTTCAAGATGCACAGTCCTGGGCCCATTTCATTCCTGGGAGTGTGTTCCCTAGGGTGACTGGGATTCCCTGCTTTTGAAGGGGACCCCACCTTTGGGAATGTTTGAAGGCCACTGTCCCTCTTGGGTACCCCCAGGCCTGAGAATGCTACTACTGCTACTTAGGAACCATTTAAGTCTAGTGCGTTGATGCTTCTGGTGGTCAGTGTTTTTGAGAGCCCTCAACCCTAGATTGGAAGGAGGAGCTGGTCTTGACTAGGAAAGGCAGCAAGGACCCCTTTGGTGGAACAAAGAATTAGTCACCTGCTAGTATCCCTGCTCAGATAGGCCATCACGTACTGTGTTTCTTCTCCCTAATTTTGAAAGATGCCCCTTTTTCTTTTTGGTGCTGGGGCTCTACTCTAGGGGCTCCCACATGCTAGGCAAACCCTCTATTACTGAGGTACAGCCCTAGCCTGGAAGATGCTTTTGATTCTGCATCACTTTAATTGCCCCTTCCTTGTCTTCAGTGTGTTGGGGTGCCTACCATCTGCAGAATGCCAGCCTGGGTGCTGGGGGTGCAGCTCCCAATGCATGGGTGAGCAGGTGTGGAGCCAGGGCCAGCCAGCCAGCCCTTCATCAGCTGAGCACTGTGGTTCTTTCCTGTCCACTGTTTGGGCTGTAGAGTAAGGGGTGGCTTGTGTTTGGAAGTGTGGTTACAGGATCAGGATATGTTTAGATTCTGATTTCAAAAATGTGTAGGGACAGCAAGGGAAGGTGTGACTGTCAGCCCCGAAAGGTGTAGGAGTTGAATGATGGGGCTGCTAGCAGAGAGACACTGTATATTTCCCTTGTCCCCTCTCCTGTGACTTCATCCCCCCACCCCAATTCTTTAGAAAGCTGAAATTCCTGGGGTTCTGTTTTTTGGGCCTGTGAAGAGGCTACAGGCCAGGATTCTCCAGAGCCATTCCAAGAACACTGGTACTCTGGTCTGTGTCTGCCTCTCTGGTCCTTTGTTTGGTTAACACCTCTGCAGCAGCTGCTGGGCTGGGGCGGCCACTGAGCTGGCACAGAGAGTGGGTCCATCCCTCTGGTATCAGAGCACCAGCCACCACTCCACACTGAGCTGCAGGGATCTATGGGGTGCTGGGAGCCCTGGAGGACCCCCTGAGGAAATGACAGGGGAACAGGAGACACCTAGGCAAGGCCCCTGAACTGGCTGCAGTTCAGGAGCTGAACCAAGGTCAGGTTGGCCAGTGTCCTGATCACATCACACCTTTCTTATTCCCATCTACCCTGAAGCTTTTTAGGGGTCAGCTGGGGTCCCTCTGAGGTCCTCCAGATGTAGGGATCTAGCTGTAGGAAATGAAGTTGACCGTTCCAGAGCTTCCCTCCAAGGTGCAGGTTTGGGGTGCTCCTTACCCTGGACTTCAATCTTGGAGTGGCCTGCTTGCTGTCTCCAGTCTTGGCATAAGAGAGCTCAGGCTTCTGTGCTCATTTTTATCCCATGTATCTGGTTTTATTAAATCTGTTCACTTTTCTTTCAATAAAAAACCAGGGACATCTTTCTGTGTCAATACAGATATGCATAATCTTTTTCAAAAATTTGATACCATTCGTATTCATAAGTTATTCTTAACCTGTAAACGGGGTAGTTTTATACAATCAGAGTTGAGCAGCTGCCACGCTGTCTACTTGCAGTTCATTTTCAGCTTAACAAGATGTAGTTCATGTGCTGTACCATCCACCCACTGTATGTAAGTCAGTGGTGTTCTAGAATGTTCACGTGTTTTCAGACATGTGTGGCCATGACCAGACTCAGTTCTAGGATTTTCATCACTGCCCTGACCATTGTAACTTTATTGCCCTGAGCTCCTAGCTGTACCAAGCCTTGTAAGCAACCACTAGGCTGAGTTCTGTGTCTGTATTTTCCTGTTCTCGGTCTCTTGAAGGTAGGCACGTGGAGGAAAGGACTGTGGGCAAGCGTTTCCTGGGGTCTCTTCCTTCTCTGTGGCTGTGTCTGGGACCAGTCAGGGCCTCACTTCTGTATAAAGCCTGGACGTGTGCACTCAGTTTTGACATCAGCCCACAGCATAATTGCAGAAGTGAATCTCTGGAATCCTCTATCCCTCAGGACACCAGGCACTTGCAGGTTCTCTGTGCCCCAGTGACCTCCCTGGTGCCTGGTCCTGGAATATGTGTCCGAGCCCCACCAGGTCCTTGTGCACCATCCCGTTTCCCTGCGAGTGCAAACATACCTTCCCAGGATCTGTGTATTGGCCAGTGCCTCGTGACACTGGGCTGGGGGCTGCTGTGCCAGAGGGCAGCTGAGTCTCCCTCCATGATTGCAGGGTTGGGTTTCCTCTTGGCTAGACTGGACCATGAGCCGTCCTGTTTTCTGGCATCAACCCAGGGCTAGGTCAGGATCCTATCCTAGAAGTTTACAGGGGAGAAGGACAAGTTGAGCCACCACTAATCTCAACTACAAAACACACACACAGGGAATGAACTGAGGGGTGCTCTATCACTGAGGTACATGTCCAGCGCCCTTTTTATCTATTTATTTTGAGACAGTTTTGAAAAATTGCTGAGACTGGCCTTAAAGTTTCTGCTGGAGAAACAAAGTTTTTTCCCCTCTTCCTCTTGGGGTTGGGGATGGAACCCAGACAGACCCTCATGCATACTAAGCAGGTACTTCACTGAGCCACATCCTGGCCTTCAGACTAAATTATTAACAAGCGCTATTTACTGAGTTTGTATAAGTTTTGTGCTTGAACATCTGGCCTAGTGAGCACCATACATACTCTTACAACTTTTTAATGACTTTTTGAAGATACCACATGCCACATAGTTCAAACATCCAGGTCAGTGCACACTTTGGTGGTGTTTAACCACGACGCTGTGCAACCATGAGCATTAACTAGTAACATTTCCATCACCACAACAGGAAGCCAGCCTCCACAGTAGTCACCCATTCCCTCCCCAGTACCTGAGAAGCCACATCATGTCTGGACTCCCCTGTTCTGGATGTTCCCTGTCACTGGAGTCACACACTGTGTGGCCTTGTGTGTGTGTGTCTGGTTCTCACTGAGCATGAGGTCCTCAGGTCCATGCACACAGCAGGTGTGTGTGTGTCCGTCCATTCAGACACTGGGGCTGTTCCTGCCCTTGGGCATTGAGTCATGCTGCTCTGGGCATTCATGAGCAAATCTCCATGTGACTTGTTTCCACACCAGGTCCAGGAGTGAGTGGTTAGGTCATTTGAGGAACAGCCAGATTCTCCATGCTGCCTGCTGGTGATGCTGGCTCTGCAGTAGGTGTTCTGTAGGGTGGTGACAGGTGGCATGCAGAGCACTCAGGTGGTGGTACACGCCTGTAATTGCGGCCGCTCAGGAGGCTGAGGCAGGAGGATCCTGCAAGCTTTCAGCCAGCCTCAGCAATTCAGAACCTGCCTCAAAATAAAGGGCTGGGTATGTAACAGTGAAGAGCACCCCCTGGGTTCAGTCCCCAGTAGTGCAGAACAACAACAAAACAGCTGGATGACTCCATAGATGGGTGTCCTGGAGTGAGCAGGGCACCCTGCACAGCCTCCCACCCAGGTAACCACCCAAAGGAGCCAGCTCCCAGGGATGCCCCTCAGGCTGGTCTCCTTGTGAACCACAGTGCAGGAGGTCATGGTGACTGTCCGGCAGCTGCCCTCCACCCTGGGGGTGGGAGGGTCCCCGAGGGGCTTCCTGGCGGTCTAGCTGGGTCTGGCAGGCCCAGAGGCCTGCGCCGACCCGCCTCTGCCCGCAGCCCCAGTGGAAAGAAGTTCCGCAGCAAGCCCCAGCTGGCGCGCTACCTGGGGGGCTCCATGGACCTGAGCACCTTTGACTTCCGCACTGGCAAGATGCTGATGAGCAAGATGAACAAGAGCCGCCAACGCGTGCGCTACGACTCCTCCAACCAGGTCAAGGTGAGTCGGGGTGGTGCCAGCGCCACTGGGGAAGGTGCTGCCTGGAGAGGCAGCCGCATGGTGCAGAGGTGGCCCCTGGAGAGGGGCCTGAGCCCACCCCCAAGCTGGCCATGGTGGGCATGGCCGCAGGCAGCCTATGGAGCCCAGCTGGCCACCCTGCTGGAGTACCTTGTTCTGCAGGGCAAGCCCGACCTGAACACAGCGCTGCCTGTGCGGCAGACAGCGTCCATCTTTAAGCAGCCTGTGACCAAGATCACCAACCACCCCAGCAACAAGGTGAAGAGCGACCCACAGAAGGCTGTGGACCAGCCCCGGCAGGTGAGCCCGTGGCTCCCACTTTTAAAGGGAGGCTTCCTTGGGAGTGCTGCACTGCTTCCCAGAGCCTTGCTCCGCAGGAACTAGCTCCCCACGTGCGGCCTTCCCTTCTGCTTCTCTGTTCCAAAGTAGATCGCTCAGTTTGTGGGCACCATAGCTCAGTGGCAGAACTTGCTCAGCTGCTCTAGGACCTGGCTTTGGAGCCTAGCACTACAAAAGAACAGCATGCTACATAAATGGCTTTCTAATCTGCTTTTTAAAAAGCAGGACCCAGGTGGGCCTGGCAGCACACGCCTATAATCCCAGCTACTGACTGGGGAGCCTGAGGCCAGAGGGTTTCAAGTTCAAGGCCAGCCTCAGCAATTTTGTGAGGCCCTAAGCAACTAATCAGGGAGGGCCCAGAGGCCTGCACAGACTCAAAATTTTAAAAATAAATAAAAAGGTCTGGATTCTGTCCCTGGTACATTAAAAAAAAAAAAAAAAAACCAGAACCAAGCCAGGTGCCATGGCTACCTGTGGTCCCAGGCACTCTGCAGGCTGAGAGAAGATGAAGCTGTTTCAAGGCAATTTAGCGAAAGCCTCTCTCAAAATAGAAAATACAGAGGGGTTGGGGAATAACTCAGTGGTAGAGCACCCTGGGTTCTATAGCCAGAAAAGCCACAATAGCAAAAAAGAAAACCTTTCTGTCTTGAGTACTTATTTACACTGCCCATTGGAGGTCTGGGCATGGTAGGTGCCTGGGGCAGGCAGGGGAGATGCCCAGGGGCCCAGTGTCTTGAGGAGGTCATGGGAACCCCTGGCCCTGCCTGGCTTGGTGTGTCCTGCCCCCCCCTTCCGTACCTCCCCATCCTTCACATTCCCCCACCCCCCCACCCCCGTGGCCTGGCTGACCTGTCTGTCCTGTCCGCCTGGGCAGCTGTTCTGGGAGAAGAAGCTGAGCGGCCTGAGTGCCTTTGACATCGCGGAGGAGCTGGTCAGGACCATGGACCTGCCCAAAGGCCTGCAGGGTGAGCAGAGCCCCAGCCCTTCGCTTCTGCCCGTCATGTGGCCTTGGAGACTGAGTCTCCTCTGATCTCTGGAGCACCCCGGGGGACACTGCTTGCCTCCAGGTGCCTTAAGAACTTGCTGAAGGCTGGGATGTGGCTCGGTGGTAGAGCCCTTGCCTGCCATGCTCAAGGCCCTGGGTCCACCAAAAGGTCTGCAGGGATGTCTGGGTTTGCTCCTGCATTTTGAAGTCACTGTCACACTGCTCAGCGGTGTGCTAGGCTTGCATTCTTCCTGTTGTGAAAGGCATGGTGCCCAGGTGAGGGAGTGTGGGAGGAGAGCCAAGGCTGAAGAAAGGTAGAGCCCCCATTGGGTGCTGAGCAAGCAGCCCTGTGACCCCACCCTGCCCGGGCTGTTTCCTCTTCACCTGTTAGGGGTGGGCCCAGGCTGTACGGATGAGACCCTGCTGTCGGCCATCGCCAGCGCCCTGCACACCAGCACCATGCCCATCACAGGGCAGCTCTCAGCCGCCGTGGAGAAGAACCCTGGTGTGTGGCTGAACACCACGCAACCCCTGTGCAAAGCATTCATGGTGACTGACGAGGACATCAGGTAGCTGGTGGCCCTTGTCCCTACTGCACCTGTCTCTCAGGGCCATGCCCCCAGCACCTGTGCATTTCCAGTTTCCCCAAAACTTAGACATTTCTGCTGACATTGCCAGAGTTTTAGAACAGAAGTGGCCACAGCAAGGTGCAGAGTGTTGGAATCCTGGGTGCAGGCCAGGCAGGGGCCTGGGGAGGGAGCCAGGGGACCTGGTTGCCGGCTTCACAGCTGCGGTGTCAGAAGCAAGGGCAGAGAAAGGGCAGCCTCCTGGATCGGGCACTGTCTGAGCCTGGCACAGGGAGCTGGGGCGCTTACCTAACATCATGGCTGGACACTGGTCACTGCTAAGTGACCATAAAGGAAACACCTGGGGTGAAGGAGGAGGAGCACAGTGGGTGGGCAGCACCGCTGGTGGTGCTGATGCTCTTGCTGGTCAGAAGGAGCTCCAGTGCGCAGGGCAGTGGTGGCAGCAGCTGCCGTGAGGTGGCAGACGGGGCAGGCTCAAGCCAGCAGGGGGAAGCCCAGGGTGGCCGGCGCGCAGCTCCTCAGTGTGCAGAGGCAGATGAGGAGCCCAAGTCTCTCCATGGCAGGGTGCTCTGTGCACAGCAGGGAGGGTGAGAGGTGCTGGGGCTGGACATGCCCACACCCTCCCCTGGCCAGCATTTGTGTCTCCAGGAAGCAGGAGGAGCTGGTGCAGCAGGTGCGGAAGCGGCTGGAGGAGGCACTGATGGCCGACATGCTGGCCCACGTGGAGGAGCTGGCCCGTGATGGTGAGGCGCCACTGGACAAGGCCTGTGTGGATGACGAAGACGACGACGAGGAGGACGAGGAGGAGGAGCCGGAGCCAGACCCGGAGCTGGAGCGTGTCTAGAGCAGGTGCTCGGCTGATGCCCTCCCCACCAGGAGGCCAGGCTCTGGGACCTGAGGCCAAGGCTGGCTGCCAAGTGGGGTCAGTGGAAGAGCACCCCAGCCTGGTGTGCAGGTGGCGGCTGGGAGCACGCCTCGCCAGGCCTGCAAGTCACCTTGCTGACGCGTCCCCTCCCCATCCTTTGCAGACGCCCTGCCTGAGAGCCCTGTGCTGCAGGGCCACCAGCTCGCCTCTACACGGCCACCTACAGACTTGGCCCTGGGCCACACTGGGGACCAGGCTCAGCAATCAGGCACAGTCTGGGAGGAGGGCAGCCCCTCCTCCCCTGGGCCTCAACACGGGGCGCCTGAGGGCAGCCCTGCCTGGTGGACCCTCCACCATGGCTCTTCTCTGGGGGCCTGGGGGCCCCCGCGTGTGGACTCGGGCCTGTGGTGCCCCAGCCTGATCCCCGTGGTCTCTGCCCCGAGCTCCTCCACATGGGAGAGGTGCCAGCAGATGCGCCCGTCCCTCGGTGCCCTGGAGCTGGTCACACAGAGGTCCTTCGGTCGCCATGTCCAGGAGCCAGGGAAATATTCCAGAAAAACAGCTTCCCCTCCTTTCAGTGCAGTGTGAGCAGCACTGCTCTGGGCCAGCATCGTGACATGGTCCTGCACTGCCACCCAGCTGGGTAGGGCTGGTGACCCCAGTGAGGGCATCCGAGAGCCAGCAGCCACCTAAGGAGGTCACTTCCCTCAATAAATCGATGATACAAATGGGGCTGGAACTCGGCTGTTTGACCCTTTGTTTGGCCACCAGCAGAGGTGATGGGGACAGCTTTCTGAAACCCGCTGCCCTGCCTCGGTGCAGGTGCTTGGCAGCACCCAGGCTACACCCAGGTTCCCCTGCGGTGCCAGGGAGAGCCCTAGTCCAGCTGCAGAGAAATGAGCTGGCCCTTTGGGCGTGGCCCCCACAATAGCCACCTCTGAGAGTAATGTGGTGGCACAGTGGCAAAGGGAATGGCCACTGCTTGGACACCCCTGCCGCCCCTGCTGTGACTTGGAGGTGCCCGGGGCCCAGTTAGGCCCTGCTTCTTCCTCCATCGCCCTGATGCTCACAGCACCTTCTTGGCTCCCCCTGGGGCTCAGCCAGCACTACCCCTGGCAGTTGGGGGCTGAGCCTGGCATGATGGCTGAAGAAGGGACCCCTTCATTTGTGGGATCCCCTACTAAGGTCACTGTTAGACCCGCATTGTCCCCCTTGCCCTCAGGGCCGTGGCCTGGGGTGCCAGGTTGATGCTGTCACCTTTCAAAGCACAAACCCTTGGCACAGGAAGACTGCTCACTCCCTGGGCTGCCAGACGGGGCCAGTCTCCCACGAGGCTGCCAGGGGAGCTCCTGTGGGGCCAGCTCCTCTTCCTGGTACTGGGTTCTTGTGAGGATGATGGCTTCAGTGCTTGCTGTGACCCTGAGACCAGGGGTCCTGCCTGGTAGGAGACACAGCTGCAGTGGGCACTGTACCTGAATAAAGACACTTCCAAGAACGTGGTGTGGAGCCTTGTGTTGGTTTTGCAGGTCCGGGACTTCTCCGTGCAGGGCCAGGGTCCCTGGACTCACCTGTCAGTGGATGACGAGAGGGAGGCAGTGGGGCTCGCAGGCCCCCGACCCTGCCAACACCTGGGACCCGGGATAACAGTGGCACATAAAGCAGGAAGTCGGGCTGCTTTATTTTTAAAAAAATATTTTTAAAAATGGAGGGGCTGGGGCTCAGGGGCAGAGCGCTCGCCTGGCATGCATGAGGACCTGAGTCAGTCCTCGGCACCACGTCAAGACATGTCCACCAAGACTACAAACATTAAGAAACAGCAGGAAGTTGCCAGAAAGGCATCTTCAGGGGGGTACCTCGGGACCCTTCAGGCTAGAGGAGTTGTCACCTAGGGCCCACCTGGATGCCATCCAGTGGCACAGGGTCACAGGTCTCATTCCACCGCCCAGTGAGGGCAGACCCACACACCAGAAGAAATGGAAAAGGAGGGTCTGCTCCAGGAGTGTCCCTGGGGCTACGGCAGCCTAGGGTCTTCCCACCTGGACCCTGGGTTCCCGCCCAACCCAGGCCCTCGGTGGCCCACCCTAACCCCAGACTGCGTGACCAGGAAAAGGTGGGAGACCACGCTCCGCCATGCACCGGCCTCTCCAGAGCATCTGCCCTGCTCCATGGCACTCAAGACCCCTCTTGACCCCAGGGCTCTGTCCCCATCCCCCTCTGGGCAGGGCCTTGGTGACCAGATGGCTCTCCCTTTGTCCTTCTGCCCCTGTGAGGCTGATCATTCACTTGACCTCAGAGGTGTGCGCAGCCGGGAGACAGGGCCAGGTCCCCCCTCATGAGTGTGAAGGTGGCCCAACCCCGATTCCTCACTGGCCCCTTTGCCCTCAGTCCATCCAACACCAGCTGTCGCCTCCTGTCCGGGCTCAGGGTCCCTCCTGAGCTCTCCTTTCTCCACAGGGCCCCAGTGGGCCCCGAAGATACAGTCCAGTGTTAGAGGGGACACCCTGCATCCAGAAGTGGGCTCTGGGAGTGGACATGGAGCCTGAGAGTGTCAAGCAGGCCAGGCAGGCAGGCCCTGGGCATGGAGCCTGAGCGCTTCCTCCTGCCTAGCTGTGATGTCCACCTGTACTGGCCCCCCCAAGCCAGACCTGGCTGCTATAGGATGTTGGGGTGCTGAGACCCCCTGACCAGGACCCACTGCTGTGTTGCACCTGGCGCCAACCCCACCCAGCCTGCACTGTGCAGCAGCAGCCAGGGCCTGGGTGCTCCAGCTGCCCCCTCCCCTGCACTCACACCCTCTCCTGGGGGGCTGAGGCGCCTCAGCTGGGCACAGTCAGTTTGGGGGGAAGTGAGGATGATGGCGCCAACCCTCCCTGCGGCAGGCAAAACAGGAGCCTGGACTCCCAGTGCTCCCTCCCCTGTCCTCTGCCCTCCCTGGGGTGCAGCCCAGCACCTGTGAGCCCAACCCCAGCCCTGACAAGTCTGGAATGTCCCCAAAATTGCACAACTGTCTACTTTTAAAAGGGAGAATTTTGATGTATTCAATTATATATTTGAATCAATCTCTCCCCCCCCCTTTCCAAGACTCAGGGAACCTGAAGCCTGTCTCCAGATTCCAGCCCTAGAGCTGAGACCAGTCTGGGTGGAGCAAGTGGGACCTGAAGGCAGCCGGTGTGGGACAACAGCCAGCAGCAGGCGCCCACAGAGGCCATCTGGAGCTGGGAAGGGGCTCAGATGCCTGGCCTCCGGTTTGCGGTGGTGGCTTTGTAGTGGGGATTCAGCCAGCTGACTGACCTTGCCGCCCTCCTCCTCAGCCTCCTAAGTCACCAGGATGGCAGGCGTGGCTACCACACCTGGCTTTGGCTGGGAATCTTGGGGGGAGACAAAAATAAATTTAGGCTGAGTGCCAGGAACCTGCCCCAGGAGTGAGCACAGAGCTGGGGTTTAGGCACCCATCCAGAAGAGGGGCCAGGGCGGGGCCGGACAGGACAGCACCATACTGGTGGGGTCCACTGGGTCCCAAACCTGGGTCCCACACCACCAGATGACCAAAAAAAAAAAAAAAAAAAAGGCTGTAGCCACAAAAAAAAATAAACCCATGAGCCTTCCTGAGCATCTTCCAGGTGCCGCTTCCAGGCATCTGATCACCAGAGCCATGCGCGAGGCCCTGGGCTGAAATCTGGCTTCCAGTGCACTTCCTTGAAGCCACTGTTTTTGAATACACCTTATATGCAATAAACGCTGTTTTCAACATTCTTTCTTCCTTATTACCATCTTGCCCTAATACTTTTAAAACTGTAAGTAATAACCAGGTGTAGTAGTGTCCACCTGTAATCCCAGTAGCTCAGAAGGCCGAAGCAGGAGGACCACAAGTTGGAGGCCAGCCTCAGCAATTTAGCAAGAAACAAAGCAACTCAGATTTGTGATTCAGTAGAAAACACCCGTGGGCTTAATCCCGCTACCAAAAATAAAAAACAAACGAACAAAACAAAAATAAATACTACAAGTACAGGGGCTGGGACTGTAGCTCCGTGGCAGAGCACCTGCCTGGCTTGTGTGAGGCACTGGGTCCGATCCTTAGCACCATATAAATAAACAAATAAAATAAAGACATGCTGTCCATCTACAACTACAAAAAAGAAAAAAAAATACTACAAGTATATAGGACTTTTTCCCTTTCAAGTCCTCATAAATATTACTAAAGTCCTCATGATGAAAATTAGCATTGCCAGCCTTTTTTTGTATGTGGGGTGGAGGTACAGGGGACAGAACCAGGAACACTTAACCACTGAACCACATACCCAGCCCTTTTAATTTTTGAGACAGGGTCTAAATTGCTCAGGATGTCCTCAAACTTGTGACTCCCCTGCCTCAGCCCCCAGATCACCAGGATCATAGGGGAACAGCATTGTCTGGCAGCTCTCTTTTTGTTTTGAGACAGGATCTTGCTAAGTTGCCAAGGTTGGCCTGGAACTTGCCACCCTTCTGCCTCAGTCTCCCAAGTCCCCTGGGATTGCAGGCATGTACCACTGCCCTCAATATGCTTTTCTTCCTTGTCTACTTTTTTCCGTATTTTTTTTTTAAAGAAAGAGTGGGGG